GTGAGGTGCTGAGTCACCAGAGCAGCGTTAGTGCTCCTCAGCATTGTTTCTCCAAGTCTTTGGTACCAAACTGGAGATAAAGATATTTATTTTGTACGTAAATGATAGTAATAGAGAACACGTTGGTTCAAAATCCTCACCCCTCTCAAGTATCTAGAAACGTTCCTATGGACGGACGCTTTGTCTTCCTGAAACACTCAGATCAACAAATGCATCCAAGCCAGCAGGCTGTGCGTTTAAGGGTTAATAAAGATGAAAAACTGGGTGAAAAGAGATTGTGAATATCAAACTTTGAGATCCTGACTGAGCCCCGTCCAAATCAAAGCTAACGATTCTGTCAGATGAGAGAGGACGACCGGCTCTGTGCGGCTCTACGCATGTATAAAGTATGACTCAGCAGAAACACAGGCACTTGTTGCTTATTAACTACATGGCGCTGGCTCTAAAGACTTCACAATCGAACTGGAAGCATGTTTTTGGGATTATCTGCTCTGCTAGGCTGTAAAACATGATCAGTGAGGACGTTATTAAGAAATATCTGCCCTCATAACAACACTAACCTGTGTAATGTGCAGTCAAATTGTCTTTCACTCCAGATTTAGTTTTAATGCTGCAGAGCACAGCTGCACCACTGAGAGCTGATTTTATATTCCACTTTTATTAGCATTAGCATTTTTTTGTTTAGTATTCTGAGACTGGAGCTGCTAAAACTGCCGGCTTCAAGATAGAATATGAATAAATAAACTGATGTTAATACTTGAGCTTCTCAGAGATGACGATGAAGCATTTCTTATTCGAGTGTTGGTACCAACGTCATGTTTGCTTCCTTATGTTAAGGTTCATCTGAGCCTTTTTTGCAGTTTGTGTCACTTTTATTTCTTATTTTAAAGTTTTCTGTCACTGATTTGAAATATTGGCGCCAACACTGCTTGTCAAAATGCAACAAGCTCCTCCAACATTTTCTTTGTTGCCACAGTAATAAATAACATTTATTACATTTTACTCCTCAACAACACCAGCAACACTCATTCCATCCATTTCAGAAGATCAGAGCCTCGTATTAAACATGTTTAAGCCACGGTGACACCAACGGGTCATGTGATAAGTTGGGAGTGAGAACAGGTTGGATCCACAAAGCATCTCAAGATAGCAACGTTAGAGACTTTCTGCATTATGGAGGAGAATCTCACTGTGACACATTGGTCCGCTCCGCCGGCCGTGGGAAATGTCAGGTCCAGGTAAAGCACCAATCATCAAAGTGAATGTGCACCGTGATCAGTCCCTGTAGACTGCCTGATAAAATCTCTTTACAGCAGAAATAAACATGTTTATGTCTTACTTCGAAAAATGTTCCAACTCTCAGCTGCTTCATTACATCTGTGTATAAAGGGATGGGTACTTTTACACTGCATTTGAGCACTTAAAGCACTTTCTTACGACAAGCCTCCTTCACTTATTCACAGACGATCATACAACCATGTTTTTGCCTAAGTTCACACATTCACACTGCGACATGAGGCTCTGTGGACAACTTTTCAGGATAAACTTCCACGCAGGCTAAAGGTGCCGGGGAACCTTCCAACGCTACCTCCTGAACCTTAGCCTCCTGGTGGGTGAATTCTTTAATAACTCAAATACTTGGATAATGATGAATTTTAAAGTTTGCATTACTAGGGGTGTGGCCTCTTAGACTGATGGATGGATTGCAACACAGACGACTGCAGTTGCTAGCTGTCTGCTAATTGGAGTCACTGAATTGGATCTCTGGATCATGTTTGTGTTGTTGATGCCTTTTGCAGTTTTTCTAATGCAGTTATCTGACAAATGGTGGAGCTTTCTGTGCAGCTGGTTGTGCTAACTCATCGTTGAAGAAATTGTGGTCGGTAGTCTTTTACCTATTGCTGATTAGCATGTGTAATTTAGCTAATTTAGCAACAACTCAAATTTCAGACATAAAGTCTTGAGGATACTTTTCATGTCTGTGACCCTGCTGAGGTTTGCTGGGGTCTAACTTATACCACCACATGGCGAACAAGGATCCGTGTAGACTGCCTATTTTCTTGACTGCGCAGACTCATCTGCAGATACTTTAATTAGAAAACATCAGCTACAAATAAACCTCAGACAGCGGACTTCAAAGAAGTATAACAAGAATAAGAATTCATCCCTTTGGTCGAGACTGAGGCTTAAAAGTTTGTTTATCCAATTGTAAATTAATCATACTGTTGTCATAAAAACAAGATTTTTAAAATGTTTAAATGACTCCCCAAATATACCTGAGCAACTCATCGGTTTAAAGCATACAATAAATACGTTTATGTCCATGTTAAATAAGAATCATAGCTACTAGTCACATTTTTCTAAATAAATGACCACAAATTGTTGTATTTGTGTTTTTCTATTATTTACTGCGTTGGCCCAAAAACTTACTGGACCAAGTGTTTTGAGTAGCATCACCTTTCTGACGAGTACCAACATTATCACTTTTTTTCAGGACAACTAAACTCTGTTTTTAATGCTAAATACTGAAGGATAAAGTGTTGCTAGGTTGATTTCTTAATTTAAAGAGTTGAGTTCCAGAGTGATGTATGTGAAATACTCAGTTTAAATAAGTTGTAATGACTTCTGTTGTCTAATGATGTTAAGTGATGACATGTGCTGTGGTCTGTACTCAGTGTGATTAAGCACTCGTACTGTAGCTCTTTAAACAGCTCATGTCACACATGAAGCCTCGTGTCTGAGGTTGAACTGATTCATTGCAGCAGCAGCTGAACATTCAGGTGGTAAATTCAGTGTTTTGGGGCAGAATGAAACAGGTCAGCACATTATTGTCTAAACCTGCTGCACTGTACAGAACGCTCCCCGGAGCCAGAGTCCATTTAGTGGCGAGCTCCCCATGGTCTGCGTCCATTTACTGCCGCAACGTGCCCTTTTGAAGCCAGGCTCCATGTACTTGTGTTTACCCTGTAAATCCCAGGTCTGCTGAATGAAGTCTGGATGATGGGAGAATGATGCACTGACCCATGACGGTGAGTGCAGCGGACGGCAGGCTAACCCTTCAAAAAACCCAGTCAGACAAGCACCACAGAGAGCCAAATGATACACTAACAATGCACAAAAGCATCCGAGCAAAAGCGCACATTCAGTAGCTACAAAAACCATGTGTTATATCATCAAGACCCAAAAATAACCGGCAGGAAATTTGCTTTGCTGAATTTGACACTGAAGTCTTAAACATGTATTTGCTGCAAAATCCTGTCTTTAAAAATCATTTCAAACCTTCCAAAATAAAAAGTCTGGAAATAGAACTATGGCACAATTTGCTGCCTTGTAACTGCGGTCAAAGCAAAGCAGCGGGGCAGTTAAACTGACCCGAAATCTGTTTTCAGCCCTTAAAATTCAAATTCTATTTGTCCTTTGGTGATTTGCCCTCTTAACTTCACCAAACACCAAATTTTAACATCGCTAAAATATACAGTGATGATGTAGAAGTCTCAGAAACTCATATAAACTCTTGACTTTAAAGTGTTAAATAGATTTAGCATGTGACCAAAAAATTTTGAACGTGTGGGACTAAAAAAGGTTATTTGATCTTATCTTAAACATGCTAAAGTTACTGTAAAAACTCTTTTATACTCCTGGACTTTTTCCATTATTTTCTAACTCATCATTGGCTCTCTGATCAAGATCTCCAGTAATGTTCTTCATGTCTTTTTTGACACTTTCTCAGTTCCAGTGAATGAAGCCGGAGCAGCATCAGCTGCAGAGACTGTTTGTTTGGTTCCTGAAAGCGAGCCCTCGAATGCAGCGCACGCCACTGTCACAACAATCGCTCTATTACTTCATACATGTAGAACGTCTCCTGTCAGCCTGCAACTCCACACACCAACATTAAGAAGTGCTGAAACCTCGGAGAAGTTGAGACATTCTTCTCTCGGGATCTAATAATGCCGCAGCAGAAGCATCGGTGCTGCAGGACACCAGCAGCATGTCTGACGTCGTGGGAGGAATGTGATTCAGATGTTTGGAGCACTTTGTGGTAAGAGACCGTGCGGAGTAAGCCGATGATGAAACAGCTGCAGTGTTATTCAAATATGAGCTCTGCCAGTTGTTTGGGCACGTGTAACCTGACAGAAACTACATTTTTACATCCACATACAGCCGAAAATAAGTACATCAAAGTCAGGGGACTGGAGCACACAGGTCATAAGTTATGAAGGTACATTTTACATTTTCATATAAACAAGCTTTCTGATTGTTGCAAATGTCTCCGAGTTCTGCAGATGGTTCTTATTTTTCTTGTAATTGTTTCCTTGATGAGTTCACGCTGATCACCACAGGCTGAGCTGGATGATGCTTTAATGACGGCTTCACTCATAAATGTTGAGCAAACTCTGAGCGAAGCCACTCCTTTCTGTCTGCTGTTATGAAATAATAAAAGTACTCCACAGTGAGCGCTGATAATTTCATTACAGAGAAAGGAAACAGACTGTTTGTAGAGTTAATAAACCGTGTTGTTGCTACATTTCAGCAAAGCAGAGTGACCCCCAAATCCACCGGACCAGCGGCAGCCAGTTCCATCCCAAAACTGTTGAGCAAAACTCAACTTTGATCTGATCCAACTGCACCAGTGTGAGGTAAACATCCTCTATGCCCCGCTGCGTTTTGGAATCTGGGATATGAGTGCACAAAGAAAAGCAAAAAAAAGCACAGCCGGAGATGCTTTGTTTCAAAGATTTATGCACCAGGTCCTCCTGCTTGCATCCATTCATATCAATTCAGATATCTAAAAGATGAGCATGGCACCTGAACCGCTTTGTAAAATGAAATTAAATCAAGTAGAAACGCTCCATGGAAACTAACTGCTGAAGCACAGGTGCACAAAATGCTGTTTATACCAGAATTAAAAAGCTCAGTTAAAAATGTGGTAAAATACCCCAAACACCAACAAAGAGTCACCCTCTGGCCCGCCCCAGAGCGCCATCGGTCTATGAACTTACAGGCGTAGGTCATGGCGAAACTGCTGCTCGTGTCCACCATGTCCACCTGTGGCACCAGCTTGGGGATGTCCTGGTTTTGTGCCAGGGCGAAACGAAACACCTCGTACTCATGGGAGTCACCGGGGAAAAGGCCTCCTGTTGACAAACACACAGAGACACACAGAGGGTGTTCTTCAGTGTCCCAAAGCACAAAGGACAGGAAAGCCCCAGAGAGAGAAACGACCGCTCACCCACAAGCCCAAAAACACCGGTGTGCTTTACAGTAAGAGCTGACGCCGTTTGATTTAACATGAAATCAGATACAAGAGTGAAATCTTTATTGAGCTGTTCATAGTGATTGTCCTTTATAGGACCGCCCTGAAGAGCGCCCCCACTTTATGCTGTTCTTAGAGTATAAATGCAAACAGAGTTTACAAAAGCAGCTCTGTGTCACACTCAGTAAAACTTTAAATTAAGCCTCAAAAAGTCAAAAGAAAAGGAAATCAAGGGTCAACGCATCGCCCTGCTTCCCTCTGCAGAAAAGCTAATGGTGTGTTCTGGATTATTGCAGGAAAAACGTCTCTCCGCAAAACAAAAATTTTATAATAATGTCCATGACATAACATTGTGCTAATTAGCTCGTGCTAGTTATTCATGTGGAGCTGTTTAGCACAATTAAAGCATGTTAGTCTTTCCCGTAAACGACGTTGATTAGCTGCGTATATACGAATGTGAATCGCATCATTGGGTGGAGCAGCCAGTTTCCGGTCACTTACTAACTTAAACTGCAAAACAGAATTGTTAACGTATTTATTTTAGGTTCAATTGAGGTTAGATTTTCTATGCGCAGAGACGTGCCAGCAGTGCGCGATTGCGCACGCGCGTAGCTTAGAGGGAACATTGCCTGCAAGTCATCTGCACCTTTAGCAGGGAGCTAATGAAGCTCATGAGTCTACTGTTAAGCTAGCTTCTTTTACTCATATAGAAATGCCTTAAAAAAAAACCCAATTGGAACTAAATGATGTAATTGTGGGGCTTCTCCTGTTTCGCCTTAAAGGACTGTTATTTAAAATATGTCTAACCACTTTTTTCCCCCAGTGTGGAGCTTTAGTTACTCAACCATCTAAAGATTTTGTCTATAAAGTGGTCAACGTGGATGCCAATTCCTGCTGCTGATAGCCAGAAACAGCAGTCAGCAGCAGTGTCTCACTCCTGTCTGAACTTGGAACCTTTGTCCTGTTTAAGGCCAAAATTCCTCAGTTGCTATGAAGTGAAACATTTTCA